TTCCAGGCCAGGCACAGGGCTCCCTTTCCAAATCTGGGCCTGTTACAAAAACATCTACCATTCCTGCCCAGCAGGCTTGGAAGTCAGCATTCAGACAACTGAGGAGTGTGGACACCTGGATTTTAACTCACACTGTAGTCAAAATGAGGTATGTTTGTCTGGGATCACTTTTGTGTGGTGAATGCAGTTACATCTTTACCACTGTTCCAGATGGCCAAAGACTGCCACGTAAACAATCGTGTGCACCTAACACCATTTTGCCACCCAGCAGTCACTAATCACCTTTGAGTGCCCTTGGAATTAAGCCAAGTTTCTTAAACTTTGTGGGCTATCTTTTTAAATCTCTGGTTCTCCCTTATAAAAAAAAGGCCCAACCATCCCCTTAAGCCCCTTGAAGCCTTCCCGTGCACCCCAGGTTAAGCAGCCCTTTGTTGCTCTGTGGCATCTGAGCTTCCTGATGGGTCCTTTATAACTAGGTGAAAACTCAATTTGGTTGTCACTTAAAGATTATCCCCTCAGAAGGAAATGTTGTATGGCTCTTTAGGGATGAGGGAACAGAGGCTTTAGGAAGGTAGCAGTTAAGGGGATAATCTTCCATTTATCCCAAGTCTTAGAGGGAATGTGGAAGACGACGTGCGATATGCCTTTCAGTGTGAGAGAAAAGCCCAGGACTCAGCTCCTGTGGAACAGGAAGCACCAGGCCGGGGGTGTGTCCAAGACTGCTTTGAGGGCTCTTCCTTTGGCCTAGGGCAAGGGGTTGAACTCAGGGTCCACATCAGGAACAGCTCTGGTGCTTTAAAAATATACATACAGATGTTAGTTTCTGTGTTCCCCTAAATCAGAATCTATGGAGAAAGAGTCCTGGGCCCCCAAATTCCCCAACTGAACTCAAATGGAGACTTTGTGACCTCTAGGCCTTGTCCCCTGATCCCACCATGTCCCTCAACAGCACATTAGCAGTGCTGGCCTTGGAAATGATGAGGACAAGGAGCCAGGAGACTGCTTCCGGGCAGGGTTTGGCCTGAGGACCACCTCGGATCTAGGCCCATTCTTGCTGCAGTGGTGACACCAGGCTGCGGCAGAGATCAGGGTGGCTTCCACAGTGCCTGCTGGTTCCATGTGCAGGCTACCACCAAGAGCAGATGTGCAACAGCAAGCTCCAGACAGTGTCATGGACAGAGAACAGCAGGAGCCGAAATTCTCATAATTTTAATGGTCGATAGCTTCTGGTTGGCTCTGGATGGTACAGTTAAACAACATACTTAAAGACCCCCACCCCCCAAAGCACGTTCACACCCCCTCAGTAGCGTTTGCTTTCATCAGCACTCCACTGCCCGGTCAGACTTCCACAGCCTCAGACCCCCTCTTCGGTTATGGAAATCCACACCTTAGTGTAATGAGTTGAAAAATCCCTTGGTACACCCGTGATCTGTGTTATTTTTAAAAAATAACAAATATTAAACCAAACACCTTCCCAGGCTCACAGAGCAAAAAATGTTACTGTGGCAATCTGAATACTCTGTTGTCACCCGTGGGCTGGGTTGTTTTGCTTCTCTCCCTGTTCTACTGAAATCATACTGCATAGAGTTCGTAAATCTTCTTTACACAGTACACCAGGGCAGCCAGTGCTATCGTGTTGTGAAGTCTCTTTCTGTGCAGGTCGTCCTTCCGGACCAGCACCACAGGGGTGGAGGAGGTGAGTGTGTGCAGAGGCAGGCGGGACAGTTTATAGGCGTCGTACTCCACTTGGTACTTGCAGCATGGGTCAAACTGCCAGGAGATTCCGTAGAGGGCACAGCAGGACAGGCTCAGCACACCAGCGGGCAGGGAGATGTAGTGGGAATAATCTAAGGGTAATGCCAAGGGGGTGAAGAGGCAAGCGGTGCCCGCCAGCACAGCCGTCTTGTGCAGGCAGTTGCCCACAGTGATCCAGCGAGCTGTCTCATCACCGATGCGGGTGGGCTCGATCACAATGTACTTGTACTGGGCTTCCAGGGCCTGCTCCAGCTCGTACTCAAACTGGTCCTGGGCGTTCTCCCCATTGTAGATCTCATGCACGATGTAGCAGTCTGTGGCTGACAAGCTTACCCTTTTGATGGAGGGGATGGGAGAGAGAGACACACAATAGTTAGGCTGAGAAGCACTTTACTATGTTCCTTTAAGCCACTGAGGGAAGTCTGGGCCTTCAAGCCTAAGCCCACAAGGGCACATCTCACTTATGTTATTACCTCCTTTAGAACCTAACACACAAGACAGTAAGGATTTTTTTTCTGAAAGAATAAAAGTGATGTCTGACAAGATGGCAGGTGGGTCATCTCTGTAGCGGCTCTGGCAGCTGGCCTGATGCAGTGCACTAGCAGGTCTGTGCGTCAGCAAAGCAACCCAGGGGCAGAGGCAGCCTTCAGCACACAGTCGCACGCACACAATACAGCTGACACACAAGGCCAGCAGCAGGAAGCTTCTCTCGGTTAATCAGGGTAACTGCAGGAGGGTTTCTTTGGTGGAAATCAACAGACCCCTGGACCAGATCATGCTAAACACCCCACCCTTTGCAGAGTTCAAAAGCAGGCATCCTTGGCCTGAAGAACAAAAGATAAAAATGGACCACTTCACCTTGGGTGACTAAAACCCAATCCTTCTGGCCCTTCCAGGAGGACTGCACAAGCCCTCAGTGCCCTTCACAGGCTGGGGCCACAGCCCACTGGATCTACCTCACCACCACAGAAAGGGGTCCTGGCCAGAACAGGAGATCAGGAACACCAGCCCACTGCCTGGGAAAAGCAGACAACCCCTCAAGAACAGTAGTGGCTCTCAAATTTAGTGAGCAGAAGAGACACCTGAGGGGCTTCTTAACCATCCACCCCAGAAAATGCCACCAATCTTGACCCTGTAGGCCCAGGACTCTGTCTCACCAGAAATTGTTTCATAGAAACCCACTTCAAGGGCCGAGCCCGTGGCGCACTCGGGAGAGTGCGGCACTGGGAGCGCAGCAGCGCTCCCGCTGCGGGTTCGGATCCTATATAGGGATGACTGGTGCGTTCACAGCGCTCACTGGCTGAGCGTGGTGCGGCCAGTCTCAAAAAGGACAAAAAAAAAAAAAAAAAAAGAAACCCACTTCAAGGAGCTGATCTGATCCCCAACTTTCCCCCTGGAACAGAATGGACAACATGACCCTAACCAGCTAAAGAGCAAGCCAGAACTATACAGAAGGCTCAGCTCTGCATCCAGGCCAGACAGCAGCCTGGCCTCAGCCCCAGCAGTGACCAGGGGTTGAAGTGGCATTTTAGGTGGTTTGGGGATTCTTGGTTTGAGGCCTCTCCAGTACAAACTTCCCACCAAAAGCAGAATCTTTTCAGACCTGTGAGGGACAAAGCTAAATACAGGGCTTGTTCCAGCCTGATGAGGTCTTTCCGAATCTCCATACTGTCGTCCAGCATATACTGTTTCTCCTAGCCTTACACTATCCACTCATCTGACAAGAAGCCTTCTCTGTCCCAGCCTCTGACAGGGAACTGCTAGACACAGCTCTGGAGGCTGGATCAACATTTTTAACCCACATTATTACTATCCAGGCTGTGTAGAACCATTTTGTGTTACAGGCCTCAGTGAAAAGACCCTTCCCCTCAGCAACTCCTGATCCCTAGGCTGGTCAGACCCCATGACAAAGGAGATGAGGCCCCTGGGACCTGGTAGTCACTGCTCCCCTGCCCAAGTCCATACCCCTCCAACTGGGGGGAGGGGGGGCTGCAGTAGTGTACCAGGCCACTCGAGGGTCAATGTGGCCCCTGTATCTGCAGCTCTAATTGTCATTAACAGGAATTGGACTCCTTCAGTGGCCAACAAGAAGCATAGCCCTAAGTGCAAACAGACAGGAAGGTCCACCCTACTCGGCCTGTCCCAGACATGCAGAGGAAAGCCACAGGGTACATAGGCTCAGAGCTATCTGGCCAGTGGCCATAAAACAGTAGTGCCCAGCCTAGTTGTTTAAAGCAAGGTCACCCCCAGAATCTCAGTTCAGCATTAAGGTCATCCCAGCCCTCTTTGAAAGATGGAAACAATTATATGTGAAAGGTGTGGAAATGGGATTGTCAGGAGCAAACTTTAAGGAGAAAGGACGGGTGATTTTAGAGTACGACGGCCCATAGAGACTCTGTCCAGTTGTTGCTCCCAGGCAGGATTCAGCACTTCAGCATTTGGCACTTTAAAAGCTACTGTTGGCAAATAAGCAAACCTAAGAGGCAAGTTTCACTTTAGTTGGATGAACAACTGATTAACACTTGCTATTAAAAATGAAAGTCATGGGTAATGGGCTGAGGCACGGGACTCCAGTCCCAAGTGGGATTCAGGCAAAGGGAACTCTTTATCCAGAAAAAGTACTACAATCAAACTGGGCTAAGGCAAAGGCTTCTAATTAAATCATAGCCCTAATTAAATGGTGTGCACTGGGGAGAAATCAGGCCCCACGGGGTTGGACAAGCAGCCGACTAAACATGGGCCTTGCCAAAGCAGCCTGCTACCACGTGCCAGTAGTCGGGGGCTGCCCTTCCAGGGGTAAATTAATGAGCTGTTTTCTCTAATACTGTGCTGGAAGCTTATGAGATGGGAAACATAGGATTTTCCCTTAAAAGTCCTTTGTGGAGTTTCTCCATTTGATTTTAATTCAGAGGCGAGAGGAGTAAGAGGGAGGTTGTTCCCATTGTTACTGCCAGACAGGATTCAACATTTTAAAAGCCCCCTTTAGCAAACAAGTAAGCAAACCTGAGGCAGGGTTTCACTCCAGTTGGATGAACAATTGAGGACTGGTAACACTCTCAGGTGGTCCAGTTAAAAATGAGAGTCAGGGCCGGCCCGGTGGCGCATTGGATAGTGCGCCGCTTGGGAAGTGTGGCGGCGCTCCCGCCCGAGGGTTCGGATCCCACATACAGACCGGTTCCCGCTCACTGGCTGAGCGAGGCGCGGGAGCAACTACTGACTTTATTTCTATTAGTCTTCTCTCTTTTTTTCTTCATTAATCTAGCTAGCAGTTTATTGATTTTGCTTATCTTTTTGAAAAAAAAATCTCTTTGTTTCATCCATCTTTTGTATTTTTTAAAATCTCTAATTGATTTATTTCTGCTCTGATTTTTATTTCTCTCCTTCTACCAATTTTGGGTTTGGTTTGTTCTTGTTTTTCCAGCTTCTTCAGGTGTAATGTTGGGCTGTTTATTTGAAGTATTTCTTCTTTTTTGATGTAGGCATTTATTATTATAAATTTCCCTCTTAGAACTGCTTTTGCTGTATCCCGTAGGTTCGTTATGTTTTCATTTTCATTTGTCTCAAAAATTTTTAAAATTTCCTTTTTGATTTACTCTTTGACCTATTCATTGTTCAGGAGCATGTTGTTTAATTTCCATGTATTTGTGTGGTTTTTAGTATCCCCTTTGTTGCTGATTTCTAGTTTCATTCCATTGTGGTCAGACAAGGTAGTTGATATCATTTCAATTTTTAAAAATTTGTTGAAACTTATCTTGTGACCTAACATGTAACCTGTTCTTGACAATTTTCCATATATTACTGAGAAGAATGTGCATTATTCAGCAGTTGGATGAAATGCTCTATATATGTCTGTTATATCCAATCAGCCTAGAGTAGAGATTACTTTTGATGTTTCCTAGTTTATTTTCTGTCTGGATAATCTGTCCTCTGCTGAAAGTGGGACATTAAAGTCCTCAGCTATTATTGTGTTGCAGTCTTTTTCTTCCATTAGGTCTAATCGTATAACTTCGTATAATGTATGCTATACGAAGTTATTACGGTGAGTATTAGGATTGATTGGTATGTAGAGTTAAAAATTTATAGACCAAATAGATCATTGGATTGACAAACTCTGATCCCAAGATATCTCCATTTATTTAAGTGGATAAACTGTGTATTTCTTAGGTTTTCAAAAATGTGCATATTAGGAGTATGATCAGCACTTTCTGCTGCTGGGGTTAAAGGTGCACTTAGAATTATCTTGTGGAATATGGCAATATTACCTCATATCCTTGTCATTGATGACTTCGATTACTGGACAGGCCACTTTCTTTCTGCTTAAATAAACTCTTTCCAGAAGAGGTTCCAACCAACCAACATTACATTCCACGTGAGAATCTAAGAATGTCAACACATCACCTAGAGAGCCAAATCAATCAATCAGTCAATCAATCAATAAAAACATGATATACCGAGTGTGTGTACTTCATGTTCAAAGGTACTGAGGATTGCTTCAGAAATGTGGTTGTAAAGGCAGTAGTTTTTTCTTATTGAATTCCTGGTCCCTATAATTTTATTCTATAATGAAATGGAAGAAATTTTGATCCTAGGAGTCATGTGGGGCAAGCATAATTTATGTTGGGAAAAAATTGATAAGCCACTTAAAGTGGGTAATGAGACTCTAAAGGGAATACTTCATATTAAAGGTAGTTGCTAAAGTCATTCTAAAGAGGGCAGGTCCCATTAACTCTGGGAATGATGGATGTGGGACTTTGCTTTTCAGAATAGAGACTTTGAAATTACAAGTTTGGCCTTAGGAATGATGAAGAGGAAAAATCTTTTCACATATTGGGGATGAAAAAAAATTAAAGTGGAGGAACCAGAAGGACTAGGAGGTACTATTAAAAGAATTACGGGAGAGGGAAATATGGAATAGGGAGTTGTTGTTTAATAGGTATGGAGTTTTAGTTTTGCAAGATGAAAAAGTTCTGGAGATTGTACAACAATGTAAATGAACTAAACACTATCAAACTGTACTCTTAAAAAATGCATAGGATGGTAAATTTCCTGCCCCTAGCCATTCACCTCTCTCTCACCCTGATCACCAAGGCCATGAAACAGAAGGAACCCTTCTTTCTGGACTCCTTCAGCAGGCAGTGAGATTATCTGTCTACTCTGCTCTGCTCTGATCTATACCCCAGTGACATTCCATGGGTAAAAAATGGAACATTGGAGGAGCCAGGGCTTTCCTCAGCTTCTCAGTGGTATTATAGGATTGTTAAGAGCTAAGCTGAGCAGCCAGGTATTGCAACAGTCAATTAAAACAATAAGCCAAAATGAAAGGAACAGTCAATTCTTATCTCTTACTGCAACAGTATCAGAAAGAGGCTGGAAGAGAAAGCCCTGGCTCCTCCAGTGTTCCATTTTTTACCCATGGAATGTCACTGGGGTATAGATCAGAGCAGAGCAGAGTAGACAGATAATCTCACTGCCTGCTGAAGGAGTCCAGAAAGAAGGGTTCCTTCTGTTTCATGGCCTTGGTGATCAGGGTGAGAGAGAGGTGAATGGCTAGGGGCAGGAAATTTACCATCCTATGCATTTTTTAAGAGTACAGTTTGATAGTGTTTAGTTCATTTACATTGTTGTACAATCTCCAGAACTTTTTCATCTTGTACAACTGAAACTGTACCTACTAAACACGAACTCCCCACCCTGCCCCAGCCCCTGGAGCCACCATTCTGCGTTCCATCTCTCAATCTGACTACCCTAGGTACTTCCTGTAAGTGTCCTTCTGTGTCTGGCTTATTTCACTCAGCATAATGTCTTCGAGGTTTATCCATGTTGTGGTGTGTGCCAGAACTGCCTTACTTTTTAAGGCCAAATAATATCCCTCTATACGTATACACAGTTTGTTTATTCATTCATTTGCCAATGGGCACTTGGGTTGTTTCCACCTATTGACTACTGTGAATAACGCTGCTATGAACATGAGTGTACAAATACCTGTTTGAGTCCCTGATTTCGATTCTTTTGGGTATATACCCACAATTGGAATCCCGGGATCATATGGTAATTCTATTTTTAATTTTCTGAGAAACATGCATGATGTTTTCCATGGCAGCTACACAATTTTACAAGCCACCAACAGCGCACAAAGCTTCGTTTCTCCATATCCTCACCAATACTTGTTATTTTGTTTTGTTTTGTTTTAAATAGTAGCCATCCTAATAGGTATGAGGTGGTACCTCACTCTGGTTTTGATTTGTATTTTTTTTTTTTTTGGTGGCTGGCCGGTAGGGGATCCCTTGACCCTGGTGTTACAACACGGCGCTCTAACCAACTGAGCTAACCGGCCAGCTCAATTTGTATTTTTTAATAACAGCTTTATTGTGATAGGATTCACAAACCATACAATTCACCCATATAAAGTGTACAAGGGTACTTCAAAAAGTTCATGGAAAAATAGAATTAAAAGATAATATGAATCTTTCCATGAACTGTTTGAAGACTTCTCATACAATTCAGTGGCTCAGCCCTTCCACAGAGTTGTGTGACCAACACCATAATCAATTTTAGAACATTTTCATCACTTCAAAGAGAAACCATGTACCCACTAGCGGTCACTTCCTATTTCCCCCAACATTTCCCAGCTCTTGGCAACCACCAATCTGCTTCCTGATTCCATGGA